AAACAGGAGCTGGCAAATAAACCTTGCTGATTGAACCTGCATGGTCTCCAGGAGTTCTTTGGGCTAGGCCTGACAATTAGAATTGAAAGAAAAAATAAAGGAAGCCAGTGAGAAAAAGATACAGCCAATGTGGAGTAATTATTATGGTGGTACAATTAACATTCTCTCTCAACCATGGAAGTTCTGAGGCACTCTCTCCCCATGCAACCTATTTCACAGAGCTGTGGAAAGCATTGGTAAAGAGAAAGCCACCTACCCTGCTTTAAGCCCCTGAAGTAAATACAGGATATAAATCTATTGTATAAATCAGCCAATAAATAAATGGCAGTTATTTAATATGATGAGGAAATTCATCAGAAGGAGACTGAACTAGGTTTCCTATCTGCTCTGCAGATGTCTGTTTTCTTTTGCTATCTGAAGTGTGGCGTGCAAGTACACAGAGGATTACATGTATATTCAGTTTATCAGAGGTAGTTCTGACCTCCAATTTAATAAATGCCATTATATTTCAATGAGCTTCTCACTCTGAAGTAATGTTTTAAAATGTAATTCTTTTTATTGGTTTCTGGTTTATATTTACTTTCCTGTTTTCCATTATGATTCATGGTGGGGGGAGGGCATTTAGCTGAGAACACCAGAATAGGGAATACACCAGCCTGTTTGCATAGCACGCTTGTGGCTTCCAGTGCCAGCACATTACATTTGATATATATTCCCCGTTGTGCACCTGCTTACTCTCTTGTAATCCCTTCCTCTCTAATGAATGTAAATACAAACAATTTCCTTCTTGCTAATTATCCCAGCACCTGGGGGAGCATTCCAAAGGGCAGGACTACCTGTATAAAATGTTTGCTGAATTACCCTGGGCCACTTAATTTCATTCAGTCCAAATAAGTTCCCAGCTTGTATAAAGATTAAGGAGGGAAGTCTAAATTTAAAAGTATAGGCTTACTATGCCTTTTCTCATAATTACTTAACAAAATACATGCTTACTGATGTGTTAGCTTTTGTTTTATTTATTTATTTATTGTGTGTGTGTGTTTTATTTATTTAGATTTTCATATTGGTTTCTTTTCTTACAGGAGCTCAATGCAACACATACACACGCCACCCCAATTACAATTGCTCTAAATTTTCCAAGCAGTTTTGTACCAGTTGTTACCACTTTACAGAAATACGGTTAAAATGGATAACTAAGATTTAAGTTAAGTGCTGTTGGTCAAACTTTCTTCCTCTGAAATTGATTTTCTAGCATTATTATAAGTTCTTGGCAAAACGGGGGGAGATACGGTTGTATATCACCCCATTTGGTGTTCTTGAGGCTTAATAGAATCACACACAGCATAAAAGTCACATCCCAATAATCAGGAGATAGTTTTGTAAATAGATATCTGCAAGCTATCTATTGTTTAAAAAAAACAATTCACAAAAAAGCCATTATAAAAAATAAAAGATTCTACCATAATGCCCTAGGGGAAAAATTGATTCTAAATGGGAAATAGTTTTGTAGCTGAAATTGTTGCAATGCTATCCCTTTACATCCCTTGTTAAAACTCTGATTTGTGCCTGAGGAAAGGAATTGCTTTTGGAGTGAGTCAACTGACCAAGCGCCTGACGCTTAGGTTTAGGGTCCATGAGTCGTCATTATCAACTTCGGTATCCCAATGAACAGTTTTTATTCCCTTTCAATTTGCTCCTAATTTTGGCATGCCTTCTTCCTGACATGAATGACTGTGTTTGTCATGTCTGTATGAAAGTTGCAGGCCAGTGTAGGTGGAAGTTAAGCTAGCAGAGGTCATACTAGTGACAAAACCCTCAGCTGAGCTCCCAAAGCCTTAGTCACCAATGTTGCAATCCCACCACACCAGAAACTGGGACAGAAACTGTGTTCCTACATAATAATTGCTTTTCCTTCACCCTGTGTCCATGTGCTGAAAGGCCACTGGCAACTACCAATTTCAGTTCATTTGATGCCAGGGGTTCAATAGTGAAAAAGAAAACATACGACCATAACTGGAAACAGCGTGTATGTAACAATTTATACTCAATGTTGCTACAAAGCTCTTAAGTAAGTTTTGTTATAGTTGAGAATGCACTGTTTTCTTCCCTCTAATGTGCAACAATTCTGGAGTTTTAAGTAGAAGCATTTCCTACAAGCTGATCTTTTTACCTGAAGATTCCAAGTACTGAACATGAGATCATCGATATGCAGAGTCTGTTATGCTCTCTCCTGGTTGACCATCTGTACATGAAAAAAATGCATATTCCCTCCCCTCCCAAAAAAGGAGGGATAATACATCAAAATATAGCCCTTTAGTAAAATTTTACTCCTAAAGAAAATTAATAAATGGTTTCTTTTGCTCTGTGTCAAAGGAAGTAGTCTTATGCTGAATCAAGCCATGCAGATCAGTATTACTTTCACTGATTAGCAATAGCTCTTTCTCAGCCCTGTTTGCAGATGCCACTGACTGAACGGGGTATCTTTTGCATGCTCAGAATGAGTTGTCCCTGAGCAACAGTCTTTCAACCAATTCCATGCCCTTCCTTCAGGGTATACTATAAAGTGGACCATTGTAGTAGAAGTTCTGTAATGGTAGAGGTTGCTTTGAGAAACTAATAACGGGAATCACCTGTGGAGAGCCATATGAAATTATTTGTCCATGGGTTATGCTACATTTCTTCAGACAGGTGTCATAATATTTCACATTGCATTAATGAAAGATGGGCCGTCAATGTTTCTGCAACAGTAGAGAGGCAATCCCAGTTAGATTGGTTTTTAACTCATGGGCAAGTAGGGCTACTAATGCTTTAAATAAGCTTACTGTCCATCAAATTTTTAAAGCATTTGTGTAACTGCAAAAGGAATCTGAACAACCTAAAATTACAAAGTGGCAGTATATGTGTATACAGTCTCTGTTAAGTGTATAGCTAAGATGCACATGTTATTTGCAAAAACTGAAATAAAGGCATGGAATATTTCATATTAACAGATCAAACAGACCTTGGATCCAGTTTTTAAAATGGGAATTATTGGGAATAAGGTTGATCAGAAAGTCCTTCTCTTTTCTCTTGCGGCCTTGCTGATATATAAAGCTAAAAGCTACAAATAACAGTCACTTCAGAGAATGCAGGTCTCTCTTATTTCCTCAGGAAAGGCTCATATTGGTTTCACCAAGAAATAT